TGAAAACATGAAAAACTTTTGAAAATATAGAAATTTGTAAATTAACTAATTTTTTCACTTACATATTGCAATAACACTATAAGAGTAAACTAATCAGTCATTTTGACTGCTTTGGTGATTCTAGTGTTATGGAGAACATATTTACTCGTTAAAATTGTAAAATTTATATTTAAAAGAAGAAAATGAAATCGTTAACTTAAGAAGATAATTGTTAAACATTTGTTATAATTAGACTGCGGATCTTTACACAAATACCAGTTTTTAAATATTTATTTACAAAAACTATGCACAGAAATTTCTGTGCTGCATCGAATGTTTACTCCGGTCTCATATAAAATTAAAACTGTATTAAAATCTATTGCACTTCTTATTATACTGGGTTTGACACGATCGGGTACACGATAAATGTATAAATTCCGTAGTCTATTTATAATATTATATTATAACGAAAAAAATGATTGTAAGTGGTATAAAGAAGCATATGATCAAAGTAAACTTACTTATAAAGAGCACATAATTCTTCGAACATTTAGCATTTTCTCTACTATTTGTATCTTTTAAGGACATGTGAAATTACTTCATCAGATTTATTTAAAATAATCAACACGATATATAAAAATTGTATGTACTGCTTAGATGCATCATCTACTATTTGAATAAACTTTTGCTCACTCCCAAAAAGGACATTACGTCTTTGTTTACATAAACTGAATATTGTTTCATATCCAAGTGATCAACATCAATATGTGCATTGATTCAAGATAACCCACAAAATTCAGAAAAATGATAAATATTACAATCGTAAAACTAAAATTAAAATCAATAATGAATTATGTTTAATTTAATAGAATAAAATAAATCCCTGAAACTACACCGAACGAGGTGCGAAAAAAGTGTAAGACAAAGGAAACGATGAAACGCACAAAATAAAAGAGGTCAAATATGTCTGAGAAATAAAATATATTTATAAAAACAAAATTAAACGCGTATAAAATAATACAGGTCGTAAATATTATACTCCTCGTCTGCATAGGTTTCTCTATTCATTTTCTAATCTTCACTCTCTCTCTCTCTCTCCCGCTCTCTTTCTGTGTCATCTTAACGTCAACTGTATCGCAAATACGACAAAGGAAAACATGTACATATACAAAAGAAGAAGGAACAGAAACCGCGTGTCGTCGCACTAAATGTTAAACATGTTCAGCTTAATTTTCGCTCTCACGCCGGACTATTCGCGCGCGCTCGCGCTCAATCTCTTTCGCAAACACAAACCAAACACATCGTCGCACGATTAAACACTCCATCCTCTTCTCGCCTTCCCGCTCTTTCTCCACCGCACACGTCACTGTATATTTACGTACATATACATATAATATATACTATATATATATATTCGACTCTTTCTCTCTGTTTCGCATGCACGCAATTCCATACGGACACATAACCTATTCTCTTTGTGAACAGTCAATCGCTTACAAATTCGTCTCAACACACACATTATTATGGCACAAAACGAGGAATGGGCGTACACGGAAATACTTGTCATTACCAGATAAGAATTCCATCGACTTTCCCTTTCTTTCGCTACCTGTTTCTGATTCTCACCTATATCACATTCTCTCCCTCTCTCTCTATCTCATACACACACACGCCCTCCACTCGGTCTATCACTCTTTCGCTCGTGAATTATTATTTATAATCTTTTTCATAGATCTCTCTCTCTCTCTCCCTCTCTCTTCTCTCTGTGAAATGCCCGCGAAATTAGAATCACACATGAGGGGAAGCACACAAGGTTTTCTATTACATCTCTCTCTCTCTCTCTCTCATCGTTTCGTCTTCCTTTCTTCTTCTTTCTTGTTTTTTGGAATAATTATTTTACAATTAGAAATACGCTCTCTCGCACCAAAACGCGCTCACGGAATGAGTGAAAAATACCAACGATGCGCGCGCCATTTTGTAATAATAATTAATCTAATCATAATACATAATAATGTTCATAATAATAATACAAGAAACAAGTGGAACGCGCCCTGTCGCCTGAAAAACAGATCTACGAAAAAATATAACGTCTGCCGCTTCGTCGTCGCTTCGCGAATTTCATTTCGCGGATAAATGCCCATGTAGATTGATTTTGTAACGCGATTACTCTATTATTCTCGCCTTCTCATCACCTATCTATCTATCTATCTCTTTCTTCCTCTCTTGTCGCAAGGATCGAAGAACGAAAACGCGTTAATATTTTCTTTTACTTTTTCTCTTTCTCTCTCTCTCTCTCTCTCTCTCTATCTTCGTCACTAAATTTTCTTAGCGTCCCTACTCTGTCTCTCTCTTTTTACTCTCGCTTCTACTCGCTCGAACGCGTTCACAAGACGAATATATCTTGACAATGATATGATTATCGGAAATATGTATATTCACGATCGCTCTCTCTCTCACTCCGGTAATCGACGCACCGTTTACTTTCTTCCTTCCATTTCCACCGCTTTTCTCTTTCTTTCGTTTTGTTAACTTTACGATTATTTAATAATAAAACTGAGTGTACAGTAATACTGTTTGATATGTCTCTAAAACGTACATCCATCTCTACGGCCCCCCTCCCCATACTATCGTCTCACCCTTTCTTTTTTCTCTCTCTCGTTTATATTAGATCCTATATGTATAATGCTCTATTACACGACCGGCGGGCGGCACGAGGAATTTTCAAATAAAGAATAAAGAGGAAAGAGAGTATTCTCTTAGTTCTGACTTTCTTCTTTATTCGGCTGATCGCTTTGAAAAACGAGTAGAAAGATTATATACCGAGAACTGTTTTGTGATGAAAAAAAAAAGTAAACATGAATTAGTGGTTGAAAGTTTGAAAATATTGTTTTTGTTTCGAAAGAACGAAAATTTTGTTATTGTTTCGGGTGAAGTTAAGGTACAGAATAATAAAGTACATCGGTCCGCCCGCGCGGGTGCGCGCTCCCTACGTTCTCTCTTCTTTTTTTTTCTCTCTTTAATAACATTATTATTATTGCATTGGCTCTTTCATCTTTTCTTTCTTCCTTTCATTCATCGTTAAATTCCTGAACTCTGAGGTAGTCTGTTCTGGGTGTCGTATTACGTAGTAAAAATGGCAAGAGTGCTATATAATTTATCGTCTTTTTTCTCGCTTTCACATATTAACTTCTTTGTCACTTTTACACGAAACCACTAAAGAAAAAGGAAAACTCGTGAAAGGACGTCATATCTGTGTGTCTGTGTGTCTGTGCGTGTGCGTGTACATGTATGTATGCGTTTGTCCAACGTGTGTAATTGAAATATGTACAATTCTCAGCGTACGGCTCGAAATAATTGAAGGACCAAACACATTCAGAAATGGTATTACGAGAAACAATGCTGTGCTATGAGGGAACGCTACCGTGAACTTTCAACGAATAAATACTGACATCGAAAATGATTAATTTTCTTTCGATTATTCCGAGCGACGCGTGTCGTAAACGGACCTCGTCCCCCAACGAAAAAACGATCCGATGGGAAACACGAAAATACTGTTAAAAATACACAATTCAACAGATCAAACAGAACAACGATCGTGTTTCTTGTCAAAAATTAATTTATACAAACAAACAAACGATTCAATGTGTAAGGGAAAGACACCATTCTAGTAACAATAACAAACGAACGGAAGCGATTCGGAAAATAATCGCGCGCAACGTGTCGGAACAATTATTAAACACGTAAGGCCGATCGATTAAACAATGATCAACAGAAATATTTATGCGTGAACCCCGCAATATATATATTTTATAACGGCGAGGTCAACGTTTAGTTTGTGTGCGTATATGTATGTGTATGGAACTGTGCGTGTGACAAGCTGTGCGTGGCTCGAAGGGAAATCCGCTCGTGTCGTGTGAGAGACGAGAGACTCGATCCTGTCCTCGATGATCGGCTCGTTTCGCGCTCCGCGGGCAATTAATGAGGCATTAATTGATCATACGCGACAGTGCTCTCGCAATTAGAGGCACCACGTTGCGCGATACACCAGAATGATTATAAATTGATCGAACGAATTACGTGCAAATCAAATCGCGACAGATTCTCGTGTAAAATTTCGCGCGAATGAAACAGCTGATCCAGCGAAAATACAATTGCTTCGCGCGGGAGAATTTGAATATCTGTTCGAAGATACGTGTGTAACGCGTGAATCGAGACTAATCAATTTTTCACTTCGATATGTGTTCGTTGAACGAGGAAGACTGTGTGTGTGTGTGTGTGTGTGTGTGTGTATGTTATTCTAATCGGAAAACGACACGAGCAAGATTCATTCCGGGCAACGTACAATTTCGAACTTAGGCTATCTTAAAAATTAGGAAAGAAACGAAAAGACACGACGGCACGATGAAAATTTATACTGAACGATTGGAATGCAACGAAAGTGTGTGGAATGTGAAGAGCTTTTCTGAAAGGCTCGTTGTTAACTGGAATATTAAATATATCTAATTAACTCAACGGTCATCGAAGAACGTAATCTCACCTCTCAATGATATTCGACAAAAAAAATAATATGTACACGACAGAACGATCACAAAAACAACAAACAAATCAACGTGATATGGAATCGAAACGTCCTGTCAAGCGATTAAGAATCGTAACAATTGAAGTCTTTTATTCTTCGCGTTTCCGCCGTCGCGTCTATTCCGACAATTACTTATCAACCATTTTCTTTTTCTTCGCGGTTCTCCATCGATAAAGTTATGCTATAATACGCTATAAAATACGAGTATTATGAATAGGTTTAATAATCACCTTCTAGACGATATTCAATTGAGTTCAATAATTACAGTGATAATTAGAATAACTATACGCCTATACATTTAACATATTTTGTACAATTGATAAGCTTCGAAGGTTCGAACGACGCATTAGAAGTCTCCATTGCGCGTTTTCGGAATTATTATCGTTCGAGTGTGCGATTATTTTTTCCCCAAGAAAACCGTATATTTGAAACGACATGGCGGGTTTGTGTTGTCTTTTTGAAACGGATGTCGCGATCCACCGAGTCGAGCAATCGACGGCGAGAACGAAAAAAAATAAGTTCTCCTGTCAATTTTTCACGATCAACTCCGTGTATCGCGAGTCACGGGATATGCAAATGCAGAATAGATTTCTTTTTTGTTAAATTGAAAACCGATCGATCCTCCGAGACACGGAAAACCGCGTTCAAGTTCCGAATAGCCCGCCACGCGTCACGGCTCTACAAATAATATCGAATCCGCTCGTCGAAACGTGTAAAATATCGCGATTCAATGATCCCGAGAGTGGACGTCAAATAAATATTACGCAGGTTGAGCAAAAAACCAATATCCTTTCCGAGCAACCGTTGCTCTTCACCGACGAATTCGCGACAAAATTTCAACTCGAAACAATTACAACGATCAAATCGATGAATCTGGCTTGAAGAGAACGAACGTAATAATATTCCCTTCTGTTAGATACAAACGAAAATAACACGTGCATGAAAGGATGTTGTCCTCTTGTCGATTTCAAGGGCGTGATAGGCGGAGAATTTCGAACCGGTGGAGTGAAAATCGGATGATAGAGATTATTCTTAACCGAGAACTATATAATAAATACAAATTTTCATCACGATCGAACGGGTGTGCACTTGAGTCCCAGTGTCTCTGATCGTTATAAGCGCGAAGTTCGATTTTCAAGTCGCACCGCGCGACCGTACTCGCGATATTTACGATCTCACCTTTCGATAAACAATCACTGAAGACCATGACGGCGTGGATCGCCGGACAACGGCCATGTCCAGCGACGATGCACGTCTCCAACGGTCGGGCTTGAAATCACGCCCGTAGATGGACGTTGTGGTTGTTGGATTTCTTTTTGTGCGTCTCGAGGTGCTTCATCATGTGGTCCTTCCTGATGAATCCCTTGCCGCAATTATCACAGGCGTACGGCTTTTCGCCAGTGTGGAGGCACATGTGCCGCCTGAGGTCAGTTTTGTGGTTGAACTGCTTCGGGCATATCTCGCACTTGTACGGCTTGTCGCCGGCGTGCTTCTGCAAGTGCTCCGCGTGCAGGTACTCGAGGGGGAACCTCTTGCCGCACTGATTGCATTTGAACGGCTTGTCCCCGGAGTGGAAGCTCTTGTTGTGTTGCGTCAGGTAGCAGGCCTTGTTGAAGACCTTGTCGCACTCGATGCACTTGTGAAAGCCGTCCTGGGAAATATAGTGCGAGCCGGTGTTTGTGCTGGTCACCTGATGCTCCTTCGTGATCACGGCGTTCCCTTTCGATTTGTGATCCTTCTCGAATTGTCTACCGACATTCGGATTCAGCTCCTCCTTCGCTTGAATGAGCTGCGGTAGATTGTTGTTCGCCTCGAGATTGTCTCGAGAATGATGGAGCTGATGCGACATATGATGCGTCTGGATCTCGTACTGTTTGATGATCATACCGTCGGTATTTGGCATTTCTATGTCCATGTTCGTTAAAGATTCGTACCGAGGCGGTGAACTCCTGTACGGATCGTAGTTCGATCCAGGCGAGTCAAATGATCGATCTTGAGGAGACGTGTTCTCCTCCGGACTTAGCCCCCCCACGTTAACGGCCTGAGGTTGATTTTGGCCAATTAGAAACCCGGTGACGTTGAACTGTGTAAAATTCGGCAATGCCCTCTGATGGTTACTGAAGGTGCCGAAACCAGGTAAAACATCCTGAGACTGCTGCTGCTGCTGCTGGCGTTGTTGTTGTTGTTGTTGTTGTTGTTGTTGTTGCTGCTGCTGCTGCTGCTGCTGAGCTTGCTGGTGTTGAGATTGTACCGGTAGTGTTAACGGCATCTCATTACCAGTAGTAGTTAGCTGGATGGTGATAGACTCCAGCAGGCCCGGGATGTTGGTAGTAGTTGTAACGTGGGGGGGCAAGGCGTTTGGGTACGGCTGATGAGGCATCGTAGTACCCCCCATCGCCGTGGGCGAAGCCATTACTGGGTGGACCGAGCCCGGCGTTATGGGAGACGGCGAACTCATGTGGTGCGGGTGGGACGAGCCCATTGGCGAAGGCGAACTCAGGTGGGGCGCCGGCGGTGGGTGCATGGGTGACATGGGCGAACTCATGGGATGGTGGACCGGAAGTTGGCCCGACGGCGAACCCATTGGCAGGTGATGAAGTTGCTGCTGCTGTTGCTGGTGGTGGCCCAACTGAGGGGATGGGGAACCCATTTGTTGCTGATGGTGGCCCGCCATTGGAGATTGTGCTGGGGAATTGAGCGGCGGCACCATTGTGGAGCCCAAGTGGACCGACGAAGGCGGTTGCTGCTGCTGCTGGTGTTGTTGCGTTAGGACCGCCACCGCCGAAGATTCGCTGCTGCTGCTGCTGTTGCTGTTGTTGGAATTGTTGTTGCTGTAGAGACTGGTGGTGGTGGGCGTGTGAAGCAGGCCCCTCGCCGCCTCTCCCGAGGGACCTGCCATCAAGTTTGGGGGACTCCCGGAAGAAGATAATTCTGGTGATCTTGGTGGTCCCCCGCCGCCCCTTCCACTACCTGAATGATTATCTCTACCAGGATGGTGATGAGCACTGATAGGCAGGTTGGCTGGATCCGGTTGGTTGCTCTGCTTGACCGCGTTCTTGTGCAGCGTCGTATTGTAGTGCCTTTTCAGATGGCCCGAGCTGGTGAACCACTTGTTGCACGCGGTGCAGTTGTAGGTCTTTGGTCTCCGCGCCTCATTACTTTTCCATGATTGATTGGCCAAGGGCGGCGGTTTCGGAGGCTGTTGCAGAAGGCCTGCAGGCATCTGATGACCGGGCATCGGTTGCGTGCTTGTAATGATAGGTGAACCCGGATGTCGTGGCGGTTCAACGGGCATATGTTGCCCGCGCATGAATTGACCCTGATCTGGGAGCGGTGAGACACTGTCCATAGGGCCCATCGGCGATAACCCAGGATGATAATCATGAGGCTGGGCAGTCGGTGGCCAACCCAACATAGAACTCACCGAATGCGATCCCGCCCTTTGCTGTTGCTGATGCTGTTGCTGCATCACCTGCTGCTGATGCATCTGCATTTGCAATTCCTGTTGTTGCTGTTGATGGAGCCTCATCAGTTCCTCCTCATACCTATGAGTTTGAACTTTGTGAGAATCCAGGTCGAGAATCTCGGCTTGTTCCTCCGGTTCTTGCTTCACTTCCGTTTTCACAGCTTGTCCACCATTGTAATCGTAGCCAGACTGTTGTTGTTGCTGCTGGCCGGATTGCGGCGACGATGTGTGCAGCTGCTGCTGTTGTTGTTGTTGACTCTGTTGTTGAGGACTGCTGCCCAATTGTTGATATTGATGTTGACCATGATATCCACCACTGGGTGAATTCGAATGATTCGTCCTCACGTGTTCACCGAGCTGATTCGCGTCCTCGTACACCGCACCGCACTTATCACATTGAAGAGGCGGACTCCTTGGACTAGTGGAACTGACCGAACTGGTGCGTTCCGGAGGAAAGTGTTGCTGATGCTGGTACGGATGGTAGCGCGAATAACCTCCGCCGCCTCCACCACTACCACCGCCATTGTTTTGCGTATCTTCTCGCGGCGGTGAGTAATGATGGGGCAAGATATAGGCCGGTTCGTTTTGCATAAAATAATTCGTCTCGCCGAACATCGGCGTCTGAAAATGATTGTAACCTTGACCGGCAGACTGTTGCTGCGATGGTTGTTGCTGTTGCTGCTGCGATTGTTGTTGCTGTTGTTGGGAGGATGTAGGATCCTGAGAGGGCGGCCTCGAGGAAGACTCGCTCGAGTCCGCCGGCGCGGTCACGCTCTCGCGTTTGACGCCCACGTGGCTGTTGTGATTGCCAGCCTTACTGTTGTTGTTGTTACTCTCCTCCTGCTGTGCTTGACTCGCCCACTGGCTTAGCAGGTTCTCCTGGTGGTATCGCAGGTGCACCTCGAGACTTTTATCGCTTTCGAAGTAGAGGCCGCAGTCCTTGCAATGATGCTCCGGATTCGAACTGCCGCCCACGTACTGTTGCTGTTGCTGTTGTTGTTCCACACTCGTCATCTCACTCATATTGTCTCTCGATCTTCTGCTCCTCTCTCTCACGCGTAGACGCTCGCCTTTCCGTTGAAAGAAGGTCGCGTGTCGCTCGTCGTCCCTTTTCCCCCGAGCACAGCACTTGTCCGTAACAGAAGGGACAAAGACGACCTACTACACACCTCGCACAACCGGAGATATTATACACATAGGTGCGCATTAAACGCGCTCGCGCGCGCGCGAAGTCCCGTGTAACAGTCTATCTACCCCTGCAGGTATCGTGGTGTTCGTTCCCGTTTTTCACTTTTTCGATACGAAACAACGAAACCACCGAAAAACTCGCAAAACGTTGGAACGTCGCTGCGGAAACACGTGCGTCAAGTAGCGACGTCTCGCGCCTCCCTCCTTTCAGCCGTCGACAACCGCTGGTACGGGTTTCCTCGCGTAGAGCACATGGACGATGCCTCGGTTGACGCGCGAAACGGGAGTCACGTGTGTTGCCGTATAAACGTTCGCGGGCGAGGGCGGTATTACGGGGCAGGGGGACACCGAACGGAACGAAAAGAAAGTAAAAAATAAAAAAAGCCGGGGTACAACGTGTTCTACATTTATCATATGATCGCACGTACGGCAGGTACGAAAGTCCAGATCAACCCCAATCGCTCCACCTGGTGCGACGTCGAGTGAATCACCGCGTGCGGCATCGTCGCCCTCGCCTCGACGATATGCCGACGACGACGATTACGATTCGATGGCTGACGATGGGCTGCTCCGAAAGCGGCTGGAATCGGCGGCCTCTCTTCAACACAGTGCGTCCACCGACGCGGTGTCCCGAATAATCGCGAATCCGCACAATTCAAGCGTGGATATCCACAAAAAGTAATTACCGAATACAAACGAAAAAATAAATAAAAGAACAAAAAAACAAACGGATCCGACGCGTGTGCGATTTACATGTTGGCTCTCGATCGCTCGATACCAGTCACTCGTATCCGACTTGCCGTTCAACGACTTCCCGACGAATGATTTCACGCGGTCCGGCGTTAACCGTGACTCTTCGTCTTCGAATCATTTGGTCATCACGATCTTATCACTTCTCACTTTGCTCACTGGTATTATCGTGTCCATACCGTCACTGAACGCGAAAAATCAAATTGTCCTCCCGTTCGACTCCTCCTGCACACAGGTGATCTTAAGGATCGAATTATTTTCGTATGTTCAAAATCCGGCACGACGAACAACGTAGAACTATGCTACGACGACGCGGGCACGAGAGACGAGCGGTTTATCCTTCGAAACTGCGATTGTAAATAGCCTAGCGATCGTCCTCAACCTCGTGTCCCTCTCCCCCCTTCTCCTCCTCGCCCCTCCTTCCGACGCGTTCGCTCTCTCACTTTATCCTGTTCTCACACTCTCTAGACCCGCGTCGTACGACCGCCGGCACTGTTCTGTCGGTTGGAATTCCGGAGTTTCGAGTCCTCGGGCTCGCGCCAAGGCACTGCTCTCCCCCTACCCTTCAAGCCGTCGCCGCCGCCCCCTCTCTGCCATCACTTGCTAGCTCCGCCGCTGGCTCTGTCTAACCTACCGAGCTCTCTCCTTCGCGCCGACTTCACCCCTTCTCTTCTCAGGCACTGCCGCGAACCGACTGGTGTTCTCACTCTCTCTTTCTCTACCTTTGGTACACCTACTCCAACCTTCTCCTCGCTTTTCCCTCCTTCGCCGTTCTTAATGTTAGTTGCCCGATTTGGCGTTCTCCCTTCAACCTATCCCTCCTCGTATTACATCCATCTCTGTCCGAAGCGTCTCCCACCCTACCCGTCTTTGGTTTACTAGACATCTATCTTTGTTCAATGTACCGAACTCCGTTTCTTCTTCCTCTCTCTCTCTTTAGCCCGATTTCCTTCCTTCTCGTTCGAACCTGTACCTCTCTTTATTCCCCTAATGGCTACATCCTCCCTTTCCCACGTAGCACCTTCAGCGAAAGTCCCCTTCCTACGATGTAGTTCAGACACGAGCGAGAAGGAAAGAACGACAACGGCGAAAGAGGGAACGAGACGGGAACAGCTCGAGACAGCCAACCAAATTTGAGACATCGAGCGCTTCTTGCCCCCACCAGATTCTCCTTGCCCCTCCATCCTTCTATTACAGTCCACGATTCCTCTGATTCTCGTCTCTTTCTGTTCACGACTTTCTCTGTCACCCCCTCGACTAAAAGGACGACGAATCCTACAGGACGCCGAACGTATTCCCTCTTCGTCTGTTATTTGCCCTCTTTGAATTCCTCTCCTCTTTTATCCAATACGAACGCTCTGTTGTTCTTCGCGCGCCCTCTTCCCTCTCAACCCCCGTCTTTATTCCTGCTTCGGTTTCTTCTTCTTCCTTCTCTCAGTACGAACGCGAAAAAAGGACGAGGTGATACGCTCATGGCACAGGAATCCTTGCGCGCCGTATCCACGGCGCGTTATCCTTACACACGAAACTTTATCGGATGAGATTTTTCGGAACTTCATCCGCGCTTGCTCCACAGTCCACGTTTTCTCGTCAGGATATTCGTGACTCGACGAACGTCGGTATCCTCCCACGGCACGAAACGTTCTCTCTCTTTCCTTTTCCGTTATTTCCCTCATTTTACTCCTGTTACACTTTACGAACGATTTACGAAGGACACGCAGCCCGCGCGACCCGCGAGATTGAATATTTCTCGCCGCTCCGCTGTATCGTTCGAGTTTCGGCTGTCGGAGGTCGCTGACCATTTCGAAATTCGCCACGATATCCTTGAAGATCCTTTTGCACGGACGCGTGTCCTTCGTGTTGTCCTTGCACAGGAAACTTTGTACGCGCGAATCAAGACCAGACATTTGTTGGAATCTCGTGGTTCGGATCGGAATCGACGTCACCCTTTAATATTCCGAAGTCTGTAATTAATAATGCATCAATCTTTATTCATAGAGTAATTTAGCCCAGCTGCCTTGGGAATTGGGCAAGAAGAAAAGAAAAATTGCAATTGCGTTTCTTATTGAGAGAATCTTACATTCTTATGGAAATATTACACAAGCATTTATATTAATGCTATGAATGATTGCTGCATTCTTATATTTTCGTTTTTTAATGAAGTACAAATATGCCTCTTAGTCATAAAATTTGATAATCATATAATTACCAATTTTCCTTCGTAGTAAGAAAAGTAAGTTACTTCTTAATTTGCTGTAATTATGTAAATAAAGTTTGCAAATATCCAAATAAATACATACGACTAATATGTCTTGAAGTGTATTTTCGGATAAATGAACTTAAATGAAAATAATGCTACAGCAGACACTAGTAAATGTGCATTATTTTTTAATAAATAAAATGTTCTGAACCAGAAAATTAAAACATCCATTATGGTACCATTTTTGGTAAAACTTTATCTTAACTTTATGATGATCACCACACTAGTTTATAGGATAACTTGTACTCTACTTGCTGATAGTAATAATAAAATAAAAAAAAGTCTTAACGAAGCATTTAAACAATAGCACTTGTATTTTTAGTCGCACAAATTGTTACAATTTCCACGCAACTAAAAAATATCAATATTGTTTCTTCAAAATAAAAGAATTAAAAATATCCAAAACGACTTCTTGACTGATTCTATTCTTCCTACCGTACGAATGAAAATTTTACATAAAATTTCAATTTTCTCCGACTAAAAACTAATATTAATTGCTGTCGTCTCACCATGCGTTGCTATTATGTTTTATCTACCACTTAATCGACCTTTGGTATTGTCCGCCTTCTGTTGCGGCGCTATTCCATCCTATCTGTGTACTCCTCGTTAACTTCCAAATCCAGTTTCTCTCGAGCCAAAATAACTAAAGGTGCGTTTCCATGGATCACTTTTCCAAAGATTAGTAACATCACCCTGATCAGTTCTTACGACTATTACTCCCAGCAGATTCTTATCTATCCGAAAAGAAACGAAAAATCAATTACGTTTCATACTTATCTAAAAAAAAACTATTCCCCTACAAACTAAATTAAAATTAATGAGTATACGTGTCGTGTCTCCCGTTTAATTTCTTCCCCCCCACGGGGGGCGTTTTGTCTCACGAAATTACCCGCTTAACAGGTTCAAAAGCGGCCACGAGCCTCCGCTATAGGTGTCTACATAAAAAGTGCGTCGGTATTATTCACCGATAACTAAATTCCCCTCCCACCCCGCCTGACTCGACCATATTCTGCCCTCCCGCGACTCCCTCGATCGACGCCACCCCGCGACGGTCACGAAGCTGCCTCGTCGGGGGAAGAGAATAAAAAAAAATGTGGGTAACCTTGCATTTTTTTATGATACCTTTTTTTTCCACGCGACGAAGCGGGTCTAGCCACTCCTCCCTCCTCTCGCGCCACTTTATTCCACCTATGAATATGTTTATTACGTTGCACCGCGGCCACCTGATGCAAAAGAAAAAAAAGAAGAAATTTGGCCCACGTGTAGGCCGAACTGGCAGCGGCACGTGTTGTCACGATGGATAAACGTCATTCGCGGTCGCGCTGTCGCACGTCCTTTGGTCTTCGATACAATTATACCGTCGAACACGGGACTGTTTAGTAATTGTTGTTTTAACCCAGCTCATTAGGTGGGCACTCTGTTCTGAAGATACCTGAGACCGATTTCTTTTTTTTTTATTATCGCACCTTTCCTCGTGATTAGGGTGTTCAAAACGCGTCCGGTAGTATATGTAGTATGGCTGCGTCTTCGATATTCGTGACTACGCAGTCTGTCCCGAAATCGACGGTACCACCATTGTATGAATATTAAACAACCAAGTATAACGTGTACGATAAGGTTTTGTTGTGTGAAGTTTGGTTTTTTGAGGTAAACGTATTTGGAAACAGGTGGGTGCTATCTATTCTAAAATACAGAATTAACGATTAATTGTATAGAGGAGAATTACTTAACTCTAACTCTTTAAATCACTTGTAAATTGTTTGTTATATGGAACAATGTTTCAATAAAAAAGTTGTGTAGTACCAAGGGGGCTTACAAGGTAATAATAAGTTTCTTGTTATTTTGCTTTTTTATCTAGATATGAAGGTAACATTTGACCTTACCATTTGAAAGACTACAGATGTATCAACACTGAGTAAAAAACTATTAAGGTGTAATGGATTCAAAAACAAGTAATTACTCAGATGTTCTTTAAATGATTTTTAATGTAAGTAATGCTCAAAATATTGTCAATTGCAATCAAGACAAATGTATACTTATGTAGGATTAATGCGTGCGAGTGGCACACATTCAAGTGTTTCGGGTTTCATACACATTAATAGTTTTTTACTCAGCGTCCATTGATCTGTCGAATTGCAGGGTCAAATGTTCCATATTACGTTTGCAAAAGTCAAGGTGATCTTCATATTTTGATAAACAAGCAGAATAACTAATAATTACATGTTCAGACGCCTTTAATACCATATAACTTTTGTTTGAAACATGTTTTCATATAACAAACAATTTATACGTAATTTGAGGTAGTAAAATTAGGTGACTCACCCTGTATATGTACATGTTATTACATACTTCCACATGTAATATACGTTAACAACAGTACGGTATTAAATATTTTTCACCGATAACACGGAAAATTAATAGATATTACCGATTATATAGATATTAATAGATATTAATAGATATTACCGATAATTAAATAGATTTCACCGATATTATGTACGTATCTATCAATTTATATCAAATGATTACCTATTATTGGACCTCTCAGACACATGTATGAAACCAATTTTTAGAACGGATTCGTTCGAAAAAATTTTGTTTTATAGTTATGACTTAATTTTTTGTTTTACGCTATTATTTTATGTTTTCTATCTAGAATCACTTCTTGTTTTCATCACTAAACATTCTGTATAGTGGTTTCAATTACGTTGTTCAAACTCACACTGTAAATACATGAAAAACATTAAAATTCGTTCTTTCAAGGCGACAAGCGGCATATTTATGTCAACAATTATTGAACTATTTAAATTTTATCTATATACCATGAAAATAAATATTCTGCTATGACCGAAATAGGATTTAATTGGCATCTGGAATTTAAACTATGCACACCATACAATTGTGCTTCGATTAAAAACTTTATACAAAACCTTCAAATCGAAATTTAATTATTTTCGATGATCACATTGTAATTACGTAATCTTCGGAAGGCGGGTGGTCTGGGCTGTTTGGGACGGAGGCGGCAAACGATCGTTTTGAACCGTAGTAGAATATCCATTGTATGTTCGAAAGTTTTGAGAAGGAAATGTGTATAAAATTTTATGTTTGTTTTAAGTTCATATATTACA